ACATTTTAAGGTGGTAGCTCATAAGATAGCAGTCTACAGAAAGATAAGTCACCCTATCCGGACAAATTATTCTGACTTCAAACCGACGTCTTTACTCATACTCCTAAATATCACATGCTTATCGGAGAAAAATACCAATCTCTAGTTTGACTTGGCCGATGATCCAACCCGTGACCTTCCGCATTCGAGTCGAGCAGCACGCTTCCACGGAATCTCGTGGTTGTGGTTGATTGGTGCCTGCCATTTAATAATGTTTTAAAGTAAATTAGGAAGCCAGTTCGATGGGAACGGTGTGATATTCAGTTGCAGCTTTCAGTTCAGTCATTGTTGAAGTGAGGTCATTTACGATCTTTCTTACAGTAGATGTAGGTATGAACATTCACGAATTTGTGATCTAAGTTTTGAGTATTTCAGTTAGTTATTTATGTCAAACAATGTTGGTTGCTGTTTTATCAATTAGTAAGCACTTTTCAAAAGTATTTAATTTGCTTTCTAAGTTTTTGTCGTTTTATTTTGTATAAAGTTATGTACTAACAAATGTAAACAAGAATCATGCATTTTCCCCCATAAAATTATTTGTTATGTGAAAAAAAAGAATTCTTCCAAAACTAGCTTATAGGCTTTATGTTCAACTTTAAACTCTGGAGTCATGAGACTGTTTTACATGAATTTCTATCGCTGCTAATTGAAGTATATTGATTATCTTAACTACATTTATTAAGTGTCTTGGAAATATTTTTTTCTAACTTAAAGGTTTAAAGTGTGAAATCGCTTATCACTCTCGATCCCTCAATATTCAAACGATCCGAACTTGTTTATCATCTTAAATAGGTATTTTGAAAGACATTTATAGCATTTGCTAGAATTTCACAGGAAACATCTCGCCGAAGTAATATAATAGTATGAATCCTTTCTGTTGTTTGTAGAATAGGGCATAAGAATAAAATGTTATTAGAACGATCCCAATTGACACACCATATCCTCTTCTTTCGTATATTACCACAGAAGAAGTTTCACTCAAATAATCGCACTGAATATGCATGGGATATTTGCCACTGACGTTAAAGCAAACAACAATCAACCAATCTCATAATAAACTTCAGGTCACGTGAACGCGAATAGATCCGTTACAGTGTACATTTTACTGCAAATGTACTAAATGTAGTTCATGCTTCCTTATTTACATGTTCAGATTATTATTAGTCCCTCAGAAACAATTAAACTTAACCTTTCTTGTTAAAAGTTTGTCATTCAAGGAGAACAGAAGTTTTGTGACAAGTATAGATTTTAATGATTCATCTTTGTCGCTTAGTTTTATAGGACAAGTGATTAAATTAAGACTTTTATACATATCAACAGTTATGATATGGACGGACGTTTTAGTTATATATGCTTTTGTGAAATATATAATAAATCACTTTTTTTTTGTGGGAAAAGTTTGGGGTTGGGTGGCTAGAAAACCAATTGAAGAAAAATCCAGAACTGAAATGTTTGCGAAAATAATCCATTGATCTATGGTCCCAATGAAATAGGCAGGATGAACATAGCAAAGCAATTTTTGTGAAAGATTACATTAAAACATGTTTTTAAAGCAAAATTTGTAGCCAGAACGTTTTAAAGGGTTGGTTTCATCTCTTCAGACTCTTCTGAATCATTCTTTCATTGTATTTCGGTTTGATCATTTTGGTTTTTTTCCTTCTACTATTATATTGCCAGTGTCATAATCATTAGCTCATAGTCCAGGTCTGATCTTATCATAGCTTTAACTAGAGGCTCTAAAGAGCCTATGTCACACACCTGCATCTTTAACAATGGCCACTTATTGGTACAAGAGTGCACACGATGAAATGACTATGAGGTCAAGGTCAAATAAATCCTGTCAGACAGACATGTACACCTTACAATTATTCCATACACCAAATATAGTTGACCTATTGCTAACGGTAATTGAAAAACAGACCATAAACACAAAACTTAACATTAACCAATGAACCATGAAAATGAGGTTATGGTCAGAATATACCTGCCAGACACACATGTACACCTTAGAATAATAATTCCATAAACCAAATATAGATGACCTACTGCTTATAGTGTTTGTAAAACAGACCAAAACACAAAAGCGTAACACTGATCAATGAACCATTAAAATAAGGTCAAGGTCAGATTATACCTGCCAGACAGAGATGTGCACTTTAGAATCATTCCATACACCAAATATAGTTTACCTCCTGCTTATACTATTTGAAGAACAGACCAAAGCACAAAAAATAACATTGACCAATGAACCATGAAATTGTGGTCTAGGTCAGATGATACCTGCCAGACAGATATGTACACGTAACAATCATTCCATACACCAAAAAAAGTTGACCTACTATTTACAGTACTTGAAAAACAGACCAAAACACAAAAACGTAACATTGACCAATGAACCATGAGAATACGGTCAAGGTCAGATGAAACTTACCAGACTGGCATGTACCCCTTACAATCATTCTATACACTACATATAGTTGACCTACTGCTTATAGTATCTGCGAAACCAACCTCATCACGTAACTTTATCTTTCATCACTGATCAATGAAATGAGGTCGAGGTCAGGTGAGCCATGTCTGACGAACCCATATACCAAATATAGTTATCTAATTACTCATAATAAGTGAGAAATTTACATGACATAAAAACAATTTTTTTTTCAAGCAGTCGCTGAACCATGAAAATTAGGTCAAGGGCAACGGACATATAACAGAATGAAACCTCGTAACATAAGGTACCTGCATACAAGGTACTACTTTTTATCTTAGTCTTCTACCTTCTGAAATATAAAGCTGTATACAAATAGTTTATGCCGCCACCGCCGCCGGATAGTAATCCCTATGTCTCGCATAATGAGACTTTCGTCGCTGGCAAGACAAAAATCATCATTATAGGGGAATAACTCTATTAAGAGCTAACTGACTATTTCAGTCATATTGACATATTTATAGATCGTATCCTGCTGATCATTTTCCTTTTTAACGTTTCTATTTATCTATTATAGTTTTCATGATAATAGGCAAAAAAACGCAGAAAATGGTAAATATTATCAATTAAGGGCAATAACTCCAATAATGAGTCAACTGAAGATTTCAGCCATGATGGCTTATTTGTAGATCTTGTCTTGCTGATCATTTTGTTATATAAGTTTCTATATGACCATTATAGTTTTCAAGATAATAGGCAAAATAATGCAAAAGCTAGGAAAAAATCGTTGTTAAAGGGCAATAACTTCAATAAGGAATCGACTTACGGTTTCGTTGTGCTGACGGCTTTAATTTGTAGATCTCGTCTTGCTGATAATTTTTGCTTTTTTAAAGTTGCTATCTATCTATTATAGTTTTCATGATAAAAGGTAAAAATGCAAAACAATTTGAAAATCGTCATTAAAGGGCAATAACTTTAATAAGGTGTCGACTGACGAATTCGATCAAGTTTGACTTATTTATAGACCTTGCTTGTATGGCTGATCATTTTTGTTTTTTAAAGTTTCTGTCTATCTATAATAGTTTTCGAGAAAATAGGCAAAAATGGAAAACAAAATGGAAAAATTTGTTATTTAAGGGCAATAACTCCTATAAGAAGTCGACAGTTTTGATGTCAATAGTCATTAGGTAGATCTCATCATTCTGAACATTTTTGCCCCAGTCAGATTTTCTCTATCAATAGCGGTTTTCAAGATAATAGACAAAAATTGCATTTAACGTCTATGTTCTTTTGTAGCCATCTCGGCCATGTTTGTCGGCAGGCAGGGTCATCGGACACATTTAAAAAAAAAACTAGATACCCGATTGATGATTGTGGTAGTTTTAGAGGAGAAACTGATGATCTTTGAAAAAGTTAACGGACGACGACAGACGACAAACGCCAAGTGATGACCTTTGGGCCAGGTGAGCTTAAAAAGTTCCTTACAGTCTAGATCATCTTAATAGTACAGAAAATTATTAATTAGCATTTTTTTGCAAAAGTAGTAAGCCACATCGGTAAAACTAGTTTCTGGTCTGCATTCTAACGGTTTAATAGCGGTAATAGCAATGTAGTTATGGGTCAAAAACTGGTATTTTCTCTTTATGTTACCGCTACTTTTCATAACAATGTATCAATCTGTACTACTAGAATCCATTACCTTGGTTGTTAGCTGAACCACGAAATCATTATTATCTCGATGCAATGTTAGAATAAAATGGCGTACACAGAAAGAAAAAAAAAATACAGCGGGTATTGTATATGCAATCCTATGTTCCACCATAACCGTAACAGTGGATGAGTTAACACGAGTAAGGAGAAGCCTTCAGATAAGAGGATGGTCTTGTGAATTTCAATTTTATTTCATGAAGACGTAGTTGAAAATTTCGTCTTATTATGGTGCATGGGTATTTATTTAAAGTTGCAGATATTCCAATAACTGCCAGCTAAACCCAACATCCGCGGAAAAAAGTTTTTTCCTCGGAAAACTGATATTTACAAAATAAAATTCTATATCGAAGGGCCTCAAATTTCTATGAAAGCTCAATCGCAACTATTTTCGAACTTAATCTTTTCCATCGTATGATATGACTATGCATATACTTAATGTATAATTAATAAAATTCTGGAATTACAGAAACAAATGCGGAAACTGGTATTTGCAAGGTCTTTTTTAATGTTTTAGGTCACAATGTCTGCAGAAATCACTCAACCGGGACAAAATTCAAATTCTTCAGATAGACTAAGATAAAACTAACACTACAGTTTTGGCGACTTAATCAAAATCACTTAAAGTAACATTCACTAAATCTAAACTGAAGGATTTTAAAATATTCTAATCACACGATAGGGAAAGGGTTAAAAATATATTAATAGTAAACATGGGTATAGTGTTAATATATAACTGGAACGATCGATAGACCTTCAGTCAAAAGATCCATGTAGGAAAATGGAAACTACTGGTCCGTAACTTGGTATAAGTCAAAAAACAAAATAAGCAATAATAAATGTTTATTTGTAACAAGGAACACATTAATAATTAAAAACCAATTGTTCGGAGAACAATTGAAGGTCTTTCCACCCATAAAGATCTATTTTGATATAAAAATATTAAAATTTTGGTTTAAAATGTCATTTCCAGCGTCATTTGATAGCTTATTGTACGCTGATTCCAAAAATGTATGGTTATTATACATTTTTTTTTTTAATAAGGGAGATAATTTGTTACTTCCGGTATAATTTGAATGTTTACTTGACACTGATTCCAAAAATAAATGGTTCTATATACTTTTATATTAAATAAGTACAAATAATAGCTACTTCCGGTTTACACATAGTCACTTCCGGTTGGATTTTTCAAGGTCAAATGGCTTGCAACCTAATGCAAAAAGTCCCATGGCTTTATCATGTATACATATGAGGTAAAAGCAAAGGTCAAAATCTAGAACGTCAAATTTACCTATGACCTTGAGCTCAATTTCAAGGTCATAAACCAAGGACCTCAAATCAAAAGACTCTAGGTCTTAGTTATATATGGTTAATGAGTTATATCACCATACGCGTATTTTTAAATACAAGAGGGGAGAAAACTCTAATTTAATGTTAGCGCACCCTTTAAACCAAAATGTATGTGTTACGACATGTCGCAACTAACAATTTAGTAATAATATGTTGTCGATAACTTATACTGTTTTTGAAAAGAAGTGAAAATAAGCCAAAATCAAAATTTAGAATATGACCTTGACCTTTGACCTTGACCAAATTATTTTTTTAGGTCTCTATCACTTATGGTTTACCAGTTAGAAATGCATATCACTTATATAAAATGCATAAGGGGAAATAACTCTCATATGGAGTCTCCGGAACGCTTCGGTGAAAACCAAACTCAACATCCTGAAGATATAGCGAGCAATTTGGTAAAAAAAATTTGTCCTAATCTTTTACGGTTGCGAAGGAGTAGTGGCCACAAGAAAAACAGTGTTTGGGGAGATAACTCTTACAACGTAGAGTATTCAGTTAAGCGGTTGTCAGTTTCAAAAGCGTATCAACTGTTCGATATTATATATCAAATATCTAAGCGACATCTTATGAAACAACAATACTACGCAAGAAAAAAATTAGGCGGAAGAAAAAAAAAATAAAATAATAATAATAATAATAATCAGAACAAAAGCAATAGGTCTTTCCACGGAAAAGTGGAAAGACCTAATTAGTGAAAACAATTACAAACAAGAAATGATTGTAACAGGATGCTGTTACGAAGTCTCCCAAACGAAGCTCCCATAATTCGTAATTCCCAAGGTCGCCTGACATTGGGCAAAGTCCAGTGAAAATTGGTTTGGTCCAGTAAAGTTATATGCATTAGTGATGCCTGGGGACTAACCCTGTATATCATTCAAATCATCTTGGCATGACAAACCAGAATATATATGGTTTAGGGGTGGCGATCTCGACCATTTACAAGATATTAGAACTTTCTCAAATGGCAGGGAGTGGGGTGACCCCTGGGGACTAACCCTGTATATCATTCAAACCATCGTAGCATGACAAACCAGAATATATATGGTTTAGGGGTGGGGATCTTGACCACTTACAAGATATTAGAACTTTCTTAAATGACATAGGGTGGGGGTGACCCCTGGGGACTAACCCTGTATTTCATTTGATTTGCTTTATCATGACAAACCAGAATATATATGGTTTAGGGGTGGGGATCTAGACCATTTACAAGATATTAGAACTGTCTCAAATGGCAGGGGGTCGGGATGACCCCTAGGGACTAACTCTGTATATCATTCAAACCATCTTAGCATGACAAACCAGAATATATATGGTTTAGGGGTGGGGATCTTGACCACTTACAAGATATTGAACTTTCTTAAATGGCATGGGGTGGGGGTGACCCCTGGGGACTAACCCTGTATTTCATTGCATGTGCTTTATCATGACTAACCAGAATATATTTGGTTTAGGGATGGGGATCTAGACCATTTACAAGATATTAGAACTTTCTCAAATGGCAGGGGGTCGGTATGACCCCTGGGGACTAACCCTGTATATCATTCAAACCATCTTAGCATGACAAACCAGAATATATATGGTTTAAGGGTGGGGATCTCGACCATTTACAAGATATTAGAACTTTCTCAAATGGCAGGGGGTCAGGATGACCCCTGGGGACTAACCCTGTATATCATTCAAACCATCTTAGCATGACAAACCAGAATATATATGGTTTAGGGGTGGGGATCTGGACAACTTACAAGGTATTAGAACTTTCTTAAATGGCAGGGGGTGGGGGTGACCCCTGGGGACTAACCCTGTATTTCATTAAATGGGTTTTATCATTTAGAACATTTTCAATTAAAAAGATTGTGTCTATCACAAACGGTTTTCAATTTATAATCTTTTAAAAATCTAAAAAAATAAAATCCCATAGGGTTCTATAGTAAAACCCTCTTTTCTTTTTGCCCCTCAAAGTACCCCACTATAAACCCCATTGCACTAACAAAACCCTGATTGCACCACTAGACATGTTAGTCTAACATATTGTGAAACCCTAAGTTAATCTGACAAGCGGTTTTGGAGAACGGGTGCGGACAAGTTCAAATTTAAAAGCGGCGGAAGAGGTTCAAATTTAAAACTGGCGGAAGAGGTTCAAATTTAAAAGCGGCGGAAGAGGAAGAAGAAGAAGAATAATAATAATAATAACTGAGCAAAAACTTCGTTTGGGAGACTTAATAAATAAAAGTAGCGCGATAGATGAGAGAAACATTTTTAATATATTTCAATAAGCATGTAACAAGATATTTTCCAAAACGCACAGTACAACCCTGTGATAATAATGTACAACGTTAACAAATTAACTGAAACACCTAGATCCCAAGTAGGACGTCCATTTCAAAATTTTATTAAACTATCCAAAAAAGTTTTGTTTGTATCACATCGCCCATTCTCTCTTCTTCCCTAAAATTTAACAATTTGAATCGTTTCAACAACTGGAATAAGTAATCAAAATATAACACATTTAGTCATTCCAAATTCGATAGTATTGCTCAAAACTCTGGAAGTTCCGAACGATCATTCAATCAATGTTTCTATAACATGACTCACATGACTCGCATAACACAATACAAAAACTCCCTAATAGTTTGTTGAACAAACAATTGAATAAAACGGATGCAATCAACATATATACATACATCAACTTCACTCCATGTTTCTTCTAAATATTTATATTTTGGTAACTTCTTTATATGGAAATAACAAAATATGGTACATTCATAGAACTGCACATAAAAAAAAAACAAACCAAAAGAGGAAACTACTTGTATGCAATTAATCACACAAAGAAATGTAAATAAAGCAGAAAAGTTTAGTGTTTGTCTAGAAATTGCCCCAGGCGCTGAATAAAACTTCCATTTTGTGATACAGAACTGAAATATGAGCAAAACTTATTTGGCATACATTATCAATTTGTGTTTTATGATTCAAAACTTTCTTTTATGCAGTTAGTAGTTTTACATTAAAAGATCATCAGAGTGTTTGCACCGTTAATTCGGCAATTGATGTAAGGTTAGACCAAACAATATGTTCCCCCTTTGGTCATGTATTGTTATAGGTGATTAGATATTAAATTGAAGATACGATGAAATGTAAGCGTAAAATTTGGACTCAATTTGACCTGGACTCTTATAGTTTATTTTTGGACTTGTTCAAGGATGACGGGATTCGTCAGCCATTATGGCACTACAGTTAAGTACATTGGTAATCTGATTGGAGCCATTAAAATGCATAATACTTTATTTATACATTTTAGAAAAGCAATGTTTGAAAAAGATTTTGTTTCAGTTGTCTTTCTTTACCCGCTACATGTAAACAAAATTACAGCAACAAATATTGTTTATTTTACCTGGTAAAAGCACCATAACTTTACAATAAAAAATACCGACACCTGTATAAAAAATTGAATTGTACAATTTTACGAGAATAAATTATATGTATAATCATAATGCCTCATTTTGTACTAGTAAACTAAATTATTTATTATAGTGTATAATACAGTGTACTAAATAAAAACAGTTATTAGAACATCCGACCCTTTGGGCCTATAAGTCACATCAAATAATAATGTCAATAGTTTGTAATTGTATGTACTAAAATGTACAAAATTAATTATTATCAACATATAATAAACATATAAATAATAAAATAAAATGAAATAAATTGCATTTAGTGTAAACATACAAAACTCTTAGGCTACTTGATAGAACCATGGAATTCGTATAATTAAAAGAATCACAGATCGATCGTCATTTGTAAAGCTTAATATAATTATTTACAGTCATGATACAAGTATTTGATGTCATGATTTTTTGTTATGCTAAATTTGGATTATTTAGTTAAGCATTGAATAGAATTTTCATTCAAATCTTATTCCATGTTCCTTTCAATGCCATTTTATAAAAGAAAGCCTTAGCCATAAATACAAATTGGCCGGAAGAGATGTATATAAAAAATGAAAATAAACAACCCTAACCGCAAAACGGCAAAATTCAATTTAACCATGGAAGTAAAATGCAATACTTCTATGATTTAATCAACGCTTAGATAATTTGTAAATAAATAACACAGAACAAAAGTAAGAAAATTCCTTAAAAAAAGAAAACAGACATCAAAAACGACAACTGCAACATGCCGGTATTTAAATATTAGGAGTAATTTAAACCTATAGTACGATACCGAATCAAGGAAACCTATAGTACGATACCGAATCAAGAAGTAATTTAAACCTATAGTACGATACCTAATCAAGGAGTAATTTAAACCTAGTACGATACCTAATCAAGGAGTAATTTAAACCTAGTACGATACCGAATCAAGGAGTAATTTAAACCTATAGTAAGATACCGAATCAAGGAGTAATTTAAACCTAGTACGATACCGAATCAAGGAGTAATTTAAACCTAGTACGATACCGAATCAAGGAGTAATTTAAACCTATAGTACGATACCGAACCAAACAAAAAACGTACACTTTCTGTACATTTATTTTACAGTTTCTTGTTTTTATCTATGACAACATCTATGAGAGTATGGGCATCTTGTTCCAAGAGATCAATTTCACTTCTTAGAAATTTAACACAAGCTCCGTACGCCACACCACTTGATACAATACTCCCTATTATAGGTATATACTTAGCAAATCTACCTGCTACTTGCTCTGCTGCTTGAGTTTTCACAATCTTCATGAAAAGGGTTCGAATGATATTCTTTTCAGTAAGGAGGGATTTTGAATGTTTCAAAGATTCAGTGATTTGGTCATACTTCGTTTTCGTCTTCTTACATAGATGTTTTAGGGATTCTTCATCGAGACCAAATTCGGACATGTAGAAATGGATTTCGTGTGCAATAATAGCAAGATCCGCAATAACATCCAATCCCGGAACTGGAATAGCCGCCACTCCTGCGGATATGACTGCAATTTTAAAAACTCTACTGTGGAGAGTTTTCTTCTTTTCTCGGATTATATTGTGCGTGAGTGGCCCAATCGATAAAATCATGGCCTCTTTTTTTAAATCTGGCAATGAGTGAAAAATGGCAATCATTAAGTCGTCGAACTGGCCAATTTCATGGTTATAGTTCGATATGATAAAAATGTTTGGCTCGCGGAAATTAGCTTTTCTAAGGTTGTCTGCACAGCTTTTATATATTCTCGGTACAGCCTTATCAATGCTTTGACCATCATGCTCTGCACTTTTAAAATCCTCGTCAAGTTTAGACCTAACGAAAAAGAACGGCTTGCCACGTTTTCGAATTTCTCTTGCCAGCCATGCATCGTTTTCCGAAAAACATTGATCAGACATTATTATAAAAAAATCGTACCTCTCAATGTTAATTGTCCTAAAGTAGCTTTCGTCTTTAGAAAATTTCAAAGTTCCGACACCAGGCAAATCCCAAAATACCATATTCTTGTTGTATGGATTTTCGTATGCAGTGGGCTCCAATGTAGTGTCTCCTAACCCAACAGGAGCAAATGTGTCATCCCATTCTTCTACTCTACGTAGTTGGTTAATGAAGGTTGATTTGCCAACATACGTTTCCCCAAGAACTGCAATATGGACTTCAACTTCTTGCCATTGTTTGGCTTTCTTGGAAATATAATTAGGCAGATTTTGTACTCCGGTATCTTCCACCATTCTACGTAATTCGTCTACTTCTTCGTTGGAAATAATTTCCCAATCACCCATCCTGTAAAATGAAAATTATAATTTATTTGACATATTTTGTCTATTTCATAGTCACATGGGTGGCGTAAGGGCAAATCCTCGCTCAACCTTTCCCATTTTCAACGTTTGAAATGCAAGGGGAAGACACAAATTATCAAATCCATTTGGATGAATGGGGTGGAATCTTACCTCACGACTTCCTTAAACTTATCATCTTAGCTGAGAAATTAATTTCCTTAAGCCCCCGTCACACTAGACCAAGACTATGAAGATCCCACTACGATCTATAAAAAAATAAGATCGCGGTGAGATCGTGGTATGGTCGGCTTAAATCTTCAATATTTTATAGTTTTCGCGTTCATACCAATACCTTGCTATGATCCTGATAAGATCCTGCTACGATGCCGCTACGATAGTAACACGTTCTAGTAACGATCTTGTCACGCTCTTTCTACGTCTAATAAGACCTTACCACGACTTACACGATCTCTGTACGTTTCTACCAAGACCTTCCCGATCGCATTAAGATCTCAATACGAGTCTACTACGATCGAAACATGATTTCTCTACGTTTCCACTACGTTGTTACTGCGCTCTTCGTCTCTATAAATATCTTGACTTTCCCATTGTACAGTTTCATTGAGAAAACATGCTGTCATAGGTATCAAAACACTTAGAGGTCGTGGTGCTAAAAGAAGAGGTTAAGGTAGAGGAAGGGGTCAGTCCCTTAAAATATAACAAATATGACGGAACCGGATGAGGAGTCTACTGCTGCAGATGAACCTACAGCCCCAGTATCCACCATTGAATCACAGATTGATGTCAGGGCTGTTAAACAAGATATGACTTTATCTTTATATTCCTTTACATAATGCCTGGTAGACCTCAGGAATAAAAGAACTGAAAGTATTGCGCGCCACTCTGAAGTTGTACTGAAGGGTTGGATACCTATCGCCAGAAGCTATGTGCCATAGGGTAATAGCAACTTTCAGACCGGGATCTAGTGCCTTTCTGAATCAGGTGTCTATCTTCTGAATTCGAGGACTTACTCTGTTCAAAATTTCACCAAACATTTTTAGAGGCATCCTTAAAAATTAAAAAATGACTGTTGATCCTTCATCCTTAATTCTTTAATAAGTCGGTCGTAATGCCTAAACTGGAGTCTTCTTTCAACAGAAAGCCAAGGGCGCACCCAACATGACCTACGCTGTGTAGTATGTCTAATCCTTCTTCTTATACCTAAAAGGGTAGCCTGATCAGCCAAATCAACACAGCAGCTGATTTAAAGATTGCAGAAGTAGGTATTGCTAATGTATGTCCATGGTTGAACTACAGGTAAAAGTTATTGCATCCGTTTTTTTCATACCAACAGAATGAGGTCGTGCAATTTTCGTGGTAAGGACGTATAAGTATCGTAGTAAGATCGCACTAAGGACGACAAGCGCGTAGTAGCAGCGTACTACTATTGTCTTCCTCGTCGTAGTATAATCGTATCAATATCGTAGTAGAAGCGTAATAAAGACGTAGTGAAATCGGGATAGTCGCAATGAAATCGTAGTAAGGTCGCAGCGAAATCTTTTACATTGGCTTCCCGATTGCACCACGATTCCAATTACGATGCTTCTACGCCCATCCCGATCTTACTACGTCCTTACTACGACCTTCCTAAATTCTACTGAGACTAATTTTGGTCACGACTGCACTACGAATGTTTTGAGCATGTTCAAAGTTGGGCGTTGACTTCCACGATCATGAAGACATTGACACGTCCTTACTACAACCACCACGATCTTACTACGATTTTTCATAATTTCTGAGGTCGTAGCGGGATCGTGGTCCTAGTGTGATGGGTGTATTAAATTGACCATGTATTTCAAAAGCATTGAAAACGTATCTATCGTGAGACTTCTAAACAGAAAAGACAAGAAACTTTTCAACGGAAAATTTGTAATGATTTATAAGGTATAGCGAGCGAATTAATTCACGGTGTCGCATATTATTTTATACCTGCTTACTTTCATTATACTTTGAAACAGTGATTAAAAATAAAAGTAAAGCTAATCTTGCATAAGCATTTTCAAAACGTCCATAAACATTTACAATAATTAAGATTGATATACGAATAAGGAGGTGTGGTTTGATTGCCAATGAGATAACTATCCAACATAGTCCAAATGACATGGATGTAAGCAACGATTCAGGTCACCGCACGGCCTTCAACAATAAGCAAAACCAATACCGTATAGTTAGCTATGAAAAGTCCCGACATGAAAAATGTGAAACATTTCAAACGAGAAATCTAACGGCCTGCTTTGTACTTGAACAATACGCAAAAACAGTTATGACAGACTTTACCATTGACAAACACCGGATTAATAGCTCCTTGGGCAGCTTATTTTGTATCAATGAAATTTAAACGATATCATTTTGATTACTAATGTTCTTCGATGCAAACTTTATGGTTTGGGTTTTACTTATCATTGAAGGCCGTACGGTGACCTATACATGTTTACATTCTCAACCTTTAGTCTCTGGTGGATAGTTATTTCATTTGCAATAATACTTCATCTCCTTATTTTTATACTTCTTAAGAAGATTTTAAAATTAATAGCATCATATTTTTTACGATCCTTTATGAAGATGTCCTTTCATTTAATAATTCAAAATTGGGTAACTGCGTTGATCACATCTTCCTAAATGAACTAGAAGTAAAGGATACATGTATATAGTTAAGTTTCCTTTGTATTATAACTTGAATTCAAAAGTTGATAGTATGGGTCGGTTGGGAATTTAACTTTACGACCAAAGATAGGAACTCAATTTTCCTATTGTGAACTTTCAATTTCTCTGTAGCAATATTATATCAGTGCCTGCATTTGGTATATGATACGATATTCCAGGGCTTATGTTTCCTGCCATGATATACGACTAAGATAGGTTCTGCTTTTATAAAGCTAATATTATGAAGTTTACGTGGACAGGGCGAAGTTTCCTACATCTACTGTACTAATGAAAGCTCTTTACAACGAATAACATTAATTTCTTTTTATATCCAGCAAAATTTTATAAAAAAAAACTTGTCATATAAACAGTATGTGTGATAAAAAATAAAGACAAAATATAACAAAGAAATATCATTTCAATTGATAATAAATGGACACATGAAAAATTATGAGACTTATGTTCACAGTTCTATCCATTACGTGTTTTGATAGTTTGTTTTGAAAACGATTATAATTTAACAACAAGTATTTGTGTTATAAAGTGTACTACTGTAAAATACGGGAACACTTAAAAAAAACTTTCTTACGTTATACTTGGTTAAGACAATAATAACGTTTCCGTCTATCTTTGGTGCTTAGTTAATCTTTTTTTTTTATAACCATGATAACGGAGAATTATAGGTTTCATACCAAGTGAGAACTTTATATCGCTTGATATCTATTTTCAATATAGTTAGAATATAGCAAAGTGCTCTCGACCAATGAAATTGTAGGATTGGATGCCTCTTAATTGTGAAGAATGAATGTAAATCATGTTCTTAGTAAGGGATTATCCTATTATTTGGGTCTATTTACAGTTCAAAACAAAGAGTTTCTATAAATGAGTTACAACTGCCCCGAAGCACATTTATCAGATTGGAAGGATTTATCACACAGTGATTGAAACTGACTAAAAGATGAATTGTGAAACAAACAAAAATCTCAAAATAAGTTGGAGTTTACTGGTGCAGTAAAATTTGTACCGTGAATGTTATTATGAAAATATTAATAACTTCAAATTACAAAAAAAATTAAACAATACCAAAGCAAAGCAAAAAAATAAAAAAAATCTTTCAGATAAAAAAATAACCTAAATCTTTAGCTTTCCAAAATTTTGATTACTTGATCAGTGGTTGAGAAGAATAGTTATTTTCAATATTCCGATAAAAAAAACCAGGAATTTAATTTTGAACATATTAAAAACTTTTAAAGGCATTATTTTTTAACATCCCTGAAATAATGAAATATTATTTGATGTAAAAAGCCGGACCAAAATATTGGCTGTGAAATAAAATTTAGTTGTAACGCAAATGTATTAATTGATTTAAACTGTAAATAAAAAAAAGGATAATGCCTCACTAAAATATTACATGATTTACATTCATACTCACAATCAAGAAACATATCCAATTCCTACCTTTTCTTTCTACTGTTGTGTCAACTAATATCTATAACGCTTTTTTTTAAAAATATTTCCCAAATGATATGAAAGTCCTTACATCACTAAAACTAATCCATAAATGACATGCCCAAAAAGGAAGTCATGCATCAATTATAAACATTGCACTGACAATGAAACTAATTCTTGAATAGATCATTTGAGGCTTGAGCACTTTACAATATTCTAAGTTTGTAAGAGAATGATAATCCCTTACTTCATGATATTATCATTCTCTTACATATACTAATAAACGAGCCTTCGGCGAATTTATTATTACTATTCAAATTAAATAACGAGAGTTGATATCAAGCGATATCCAATTCTCACAAGTTGTTAAACCTATTTATCTTATGGTCAACACTCGTTGTGTTAAATAAAAAAAAATCCGTGAATAGTTGATCTAGTCTTTTACACATACAAGTATGACGTCATATGTCCTGTTCCGGTGTCAAACTTTAACATCGGACATTTTAAAACGTTTCGTACGCTTTAGAATATAATAAAATTTGACAAAAAGAAGATTTTCAGGTGAAAAGTGTGAGTGTTTTGAATATTATTGAAGAAATCAAATATGCCAGTTGCCATGGACGAAATGTACATCGTCCTAACCTTTGAAAGTCATCAATGACCTAACGAATAGCCAATGTAAATGTCGGAATATCGTATCAAATTAACGCTGATTTTCGTATCACTTTTCGTATCACACTCCGTGCAGTGTGATACGAGAAATAACATGCAAGAAATAGATAACAGGCCGCAACCATAAGAGAAGAGAAAATAAACAATTTGTCATTTGTTGAAGAAAGATGGTAGACACAT